TACTCTTCTCTACAGACACTTAACACAAATGGTCTTTATGTAGTCCCAGTTCAATTAAAAATTAAAGCTGGCTTTGGAGTTGGAGAATGGCTCTCTCCTTCTCTAAACCCAAGCATGTTTGTTAAAAGGAAAATGCAAATCTCTGTATCATGTCAGAAGAAAGAGCCATCTGATATTGCCACTAATCTCAATTCTTTGGTTCTATTTTGATTCTTTAAACTTTTCTTAAGGTATGAATTTTATATCAAAATTTATTAGGTTAATATATATGTATTTTAAACTTTTATTATGATATTAATGGTCATATAGAGTACTAACTAATTGTAGAAAAAAGGCTTCATGTAGATCCCTATACACGTTTTTGTGTTGGAATCTCTATGAGTTTTCTGCAGGGAATCATGACCAGGCCTAACAACGAATTTGAAATCTCCAGAAAGATAATGGGGCCCCACCATGACGAATTCACATGGACAATAATAATACCACTAAACTGACAACATCACCCAAAAATCAGCTTTGGACTACAAACTGCTCAGGACAATCTTGAGATGGTTAACTGAAATGATCTAGTTTCACAGACTATTCGAGCAAGGACTTGAGATAAGCCCTGCACTTTTGCATTATGCAGAGACTGGACAACAAATGATACAGCTACCTTTCCCAGGACTTGACTATTAACCCAAAATTTTTCTTTTAGGATCCCCTAAAGATGCCTTCGCCCACAAACAACAGGAAGCAATTTTAAAAACATGATGTCCACATTCCCAAGAGGTGGGGTGGGTGGTTTTTGGTCTTTCAATGGGTTTTGGGTTTGGAATAATTGTCATTGTTTAGGATGGTTGGTTACAAGTTATTATTGTTAATGATCAGGAAAAAGGCTAAACAAAGGAGATTAGATTTAAGGTTCTTGTTTGAAAAAAAGGAAAAGAAAAAAAGAGGATATAGATAAGAGGTAGATTATTGAATCTACTCAAAAAATATAGAAATGATAGAATAAAGGCTAGATTATTAAATCTACTCTGGAAAGAAAAAAGAGAGGGTATAGACATGATAAAAAGGTAGATTATTGAATCTACTTTTAAAAGGCAACTACTAGTTTTAAGTATTTTACATTGAATTGGATTTTTGTATATTGTATACAAATTATATATATTGATACATATTTGAGGTTGATTTTTTTAGAAAATACTCTACACATATTTCTAATCTTGTTCAAGATATTGTATCTATACAGTTCACTTAACAATGTAATGCAATTAGCTAATCCTTGAATGTTATTATTACCAACTATTAGGATATAAAGAAATGAAAGTTAGTAGTTAGACATTGCAATCGAACTTGTAGTCATACTAGATATGTTTTCAAGGTCAAGCAGAGATATATTTTAGATAGACAAATCATCTTCAAACCCTTCAGAGATCTACAGAATATGGCATTTAAAATGTTTTAATAACATAGATTTTTTTCTTTTTTTAATGACTATGAGACATGTCTGCTTCTGGCAGCACAAATCTACTTCAGAGAAGATATGAGCATTGAAGAAAATGCATATGGAGTTAACTTTCATTGTGGCAAAAATTAGCCACTGGGCAACAAAGTGCTCTCTCATCAACTACTGACAGTATGCTATCCAGGCAGTGGGCTGATGGCTTCTGGTGTGCAGTTGAACAATAGCTGAAACAGTTATTCTTGAAGGAATAACTAGGCTGATGGAGTCTAACCTCTCAGTGGTAGACTGGCATTTAATAAAGAAGATGAAGCTACCCATAAGCCAAGAAGAATGGGAAGCTGAATTCCAAAAACACCAGAAATTTCCAGAATTTAAAATCCTGAATCATGACAGGACACTGGTGGAATTCAAGTTTATCTGGTACATGGAATACTTGCACTAAATGTGAGGTTGAACTGTGGGTCTTACATACATCCTACTTCACAAATGAGTCTGTCAGATATGCTAAGTCTGTAGGCCGAAGATGATGCCCCAATGTGCAGAGAAACCTTGGGTGACTGTCCAGGAAGCTGGCCGTTTCTGTCATAACTCATTTTTTAGAAGTCGCTTGTTTGCACTTCCTGTTTTACTAGGTAATATTATTTCCTCTTGGGTCTCTGAGGGAGTTGAAGATTAGATAGTTGTAGTAACAATTTTCCTTGTTAAGAAATTCAGAAAAGAAACTAAGAGGTGTTAAGTGTATAAGTTTGAAAGACATCGTAAGATAGTTTTCTGTTGGTAATATAAGTTAGGATAGAAAGTGAATTAGGTACATTTTGGACTCACCAAAATAGGATAGATAATGGAATATTTTCCCTGAATTTGTCAAATGCAAATGGACTAGACATTGTTGATGTTTATATTGCTTGTATATATTGTATGTAGTTATTGTACTTATTGTATATAGTTTTTCTTATATTAGTTACAACTTTTTAAAATTATTTTTTTATTTTTTATTAGACAAAAAGGGGAAATGTGGTGATATTTTATTTGTATGTTAATAAAGTTTGCCTGGAGATCAGAGGAAATAGCAAGCCATTTTAAGTAAACAAAGAAGTTAGGCAGTGGTAGTACACACCCTTAATCCTATCACTTAGCAGGCAGGATCTCTGTGTGTTCAAGGCCACACTAGGGAACAGAGCCAAGCATGCTCTTTAATCCCAGTACCAACAATAGAGACCTAGAGGTCTGTACAGACAGACAGAAAGTGACAGAGCTGTGTAGGAAGAGGAAGTGAGGTAGCTGGGCTAAGAGAGCCAATGAGAGGGCAGAAAAGCAAGGAATATAAAGCCTGGGTAGACAGGAAGTCACACCATTTGGAAGCTGCAGAGTTGGTGAGGTAAGGTTAGCTGTGGCTTTCCCTATTTCTCTGATCTAAGGCTTTCACCCCTATATTTGGTTCCATGTTTTTTACTTAATAAGACCATTTAGAAATTTGTCTACACCTTAAAACATGTGTAAATATATTCAGTTGGTCCTCTGTACCTGTGTCTTCTATATCTGAGAATCCTGCATCTATGAATTTAACCATATGGAATGTACTTGAGAAAAAGTCACATTTGTAATGACTACATGAAGACTTTCCTTATTCCCTAAACAACACAGTGTAACAACCATTTCTATAGTATTATATTGTGTTGGGTATTACAAGTAGCCTGTAGAGAATCCAAAGTATATTGGAGGATACAAATATTGCATAATTTTCTATAAGAGACTTGAGCATCCACAGATTTTTGTTATAGGGTATTTCTCATGGATACTGAGGGATGACTGTGTACTGATAATAGTAAAATAGTCTCTAATGTCTAAGAGAAAAGTTGCAGCAGATTAGGTAAAACATGGACTTATCCTCTAAAAATAATACACAATTTATACATTTGTATATGTCTAGAACATTTCTAGAATGTTACACGAGCACCAGAGAAAGCAGTGGTCCCTGAGGTATGAAAAGGAATGGAGATGTTGTGGCCTTTTATTTTCATTTGATATGCTCTGGACTTTTCCAACTCTCTCTCTCTGTCTCTCTGTCTCTCTTTGTCTCTCTTTTTCTCTCTGTCTCTGTGTGTGTGTGTGTGTGTGTGTGTGTGTGTTTGTATTTGTGCAAGTGTGTGTGTCCAGGGTGTGTGTCCATGTGCATGTTAAGGCCAGAGCTTGATGTCCTGTGTCTTCCTCAATCATTTTCCACCTTATGTTTTGAGACATGGTTCTTACTGAGTCTGAAGCTCACCAACGCACTCACCTAGGCTGGTTGGCCAGGGAGCTCTAGGGATCCATCTGCCTCTGCCTTGTTAGCACTGGGGTTTGTAGACATGTGCTGCCACACTCAGCTTTTCTTTTATGTGGGTATTGGAGATCAAACTCAGGTCCTCATAGTTGCATGGTAAGCACTTTATCTACTGAGCCATCTTCTTAGTCCTGACTGTTCCAGCTTTTCTTATAGTAATTCTAATTTTATGGTAATGCAAATCAAACAAAAATAGTGTTGCAATTGGTGGTGTCTATGCTGACTTTGAAAATGAAATTTACTACTTAGGGAACAAAATTATTTAAATATCAAAATGAGTCAATTGAGTAAGACCCTCCATTGTATGAAACACTCAAGTGAAAGCTCTCAATATGTGTGCTAACATCATACTTCATAATTCTGTCAACAGAGGTGCAGGCATGTCTCCTGGAGGTTAGCTTTCCTAATTAAAACCAGATGAAGCGAGATCTAGTGAGCAATATTTTTACTGCTTGGCCACTGTTGTGTTACCATGCCAGCAACTAGCACCAAGGTCAGGAAAAATCTATTGCTAAGGTATTTAGTTTGGCCTCGCTACTTGTTCGCTGTGTGCTTGGTTTTATCATGACAGTGGTTGCTGTTGGAAATATTTAACTAGGTGTGTTGGTGATGACACAGATAGCGCCAGGGTGAGATCAGTCTTCCTGAGAAGAAGCATTGATCAAATGATGTTTCCCTTTGATGCTTATACTTGTGGCTGTGTAATTGCCACAATCAAGGCAATGGCCTTATGAAGAGCGTGATTTCACACATGCAAACCTCAGCATTTTCTAGAATTTGCCCATATGATCTATATAAATCTATTTAGGAATTTGACCTTTTTTTTTTTTTTCCATTTAGAAAGTCTGTTATTCTTCGAAGCTTGGTGATTTCATTCAGGATAAGACATCAGAATGAGGGAATAATTGCAGTATCTACTTGTAATCAGCAGTTTGAATCTGAGACTCTTAAAACATTTTAAAAAGTGGTGGCTTTGTTGGAATGCATCTGACATATTAGGAAACAATTTAAATATTAAATGAACTTTAGGTTTGCTTATACGCATTTTCTTCAGTGAGGAAATCCCAGCTGAACACACAATACTAGGCCTAGTAGAACCCAACAGCCTGAGAATACAACCCACACCTGCAGGGACACATACAATATCTGCAAGGAGCCTCTGTTCACTGCACATGGTAAGCTATGTGCATTCCTTCTGTGGTATTAAGCCCTTTTCTTTGATTTTAGATAGCTTGCTCTCCTTCTGGCACTTCACAATGAACTCACCCGACACCTGACATAAACATCATATCTTTTTCAAGGTAAAGTGCTGTATTTTTGTTTGTTTTCTAACCATTTAATATGCTTAAAGCTGTGGTATTATTTTATTCAGTTTCTATGTAGCATGTGTGCTTCCAACACTAGCTTGTATTCCTTCCTATCTGCCTCCCCCATGAATCCTATGTATCTATTGTGTGATTTTTTTCAGAGTATAATGATTATTGGAAACAGATGTCTGTTTGCAGCAAAGCTGACTATTTTTTTTTAAACAAAATTCTGCTGGTCCTTTTCCCTTTTCAATTGACGTTTATGTATTAAACCTGATGTATAAAATCCAATCGCACAAACATCCTTAAATGAGTGATGGAAATTGCTTTTTCCCTTTGGTGCAGGCACTCTGTTGTGCCAAGTTAGCTCAGCATTTCCAATTTTATACTAGCTTCTCTAGATCCTTACTGACAGCTGGTTTGGCCCTCCAAGTTCATGTGTACCAGCAAGTTGAGTGATTTTTTGTAAATTACAATTTTGTGAAGGGCAGCACCTTGAGATAAGGCCTCAGAGGGCTCAAGTTGGACTTCTGTGGACTCATCTAGACTTCTGTGACTTAAAGTACATTATATTGCTAGTCTTCTCCATGCTTACCACATGAGGAAAACCTTGGACCAGGTCTGTGGTTCATGCTACATGGACAGAAGCACCATGTGATGGAAACTGATTGCTTTGAACCATTTGTGAAAAAGCTGAGTCAGAGTCAGCTCTCACTCTTTCTCTCAGTGATGATTCAAATCAGATTCAATGTTGAAGTTCTTATAGAGGTTCTCACACGGTATTCGCAGATCAAGATTCTATAAGTCTGTAATTGCTCTCTTAATAGCAAACCCACAATGCTCACTTTGTACTCCAGTCTGTTCCTTATTCTAACTTATGTAGTAGTTGTCATGTGAATTATCTCTGTTAAAACCTGGGTGATAGGAAAGCACACTATGACCTGAACATTTGCTTTACTGTTTTCTTTGTATAGAAGCTCAGGCTTTCACTCTGAGTTTAGCACGTAGGAATTTGACTTGGAGTTGAAATGTAAGGTTTTTTGAATTTTCTCTTAGAAATCAAGCATCTTCACCCAAGTACACACAACAAAGAGGAGTATTATTTAGCCAGCAGCACATTTAGGAGAGATAACCTTAAAATCTCTTCTTCATTCACCCCCTCAAGGATCTCACTGTGTAGTCAAGTCTGCCTCCACCTCGTGGTTTTCCTCCACACCCAGCTATTTAGTCACTGTTAGTAGAACAAATATTTATTAAGTACCTACTATATATATCATTTTAGACTCTGGAGAACACCATGATGAACAAAAATACAATCCTACCCTTTATAATCTAGTGAAGGACACAGACTTTAATTAATTAGTGACCAAATTATCTAATTACAAATTGTATAAGTGCTTTGAAGAGAAGTGCAAGCTTCTTTGAAAGAGAGAAACGGGGACTTGGTTTGGATAAGTGATTTAAAAGGCCTTTCTGAGGAAGTGACATTTAAGCCGAGACCTCCAGGATGAAGGGTTTACCGGAAGGGAAAGGGGGTGGAAGGATTTCCAGGCAGAGGCAAGAGGCTTTGTGATATCATTTTATAGTACTTATGACCTTTTTAGATGCTTATATAATTAGGTACTAGTCTATGAGCGAGACAGTTTATAGAGCTGTGTTACTGAAAAGATGCATATAAATTACATTTTTATAAATGAATTCCTGAATTCCTGCAGGCTTAGATTATATTCACTGTGCTGTATCATCTACATTTGATTGATGTTCAGTTACTTCAATTACTGCTAGATTGATCTTTCTAAAGCACAACTTTGATGATGCTTTTTCCTGCTTAGAAATCTTTACCAGCTCCCCAATTACCCAATAAAATCTAGACTTCTCAGCTCCTGGTCAAGTCCTCCCAAATTGGTCCTGGTATCCATAGCCTGTTTCAGCTTTAATTACTCCTGTCTCAGCTGCAGGACTTTTGAATGAGGAGGGTTGCTTTCCCATGCCCGCCTTTGCTCAGAGCTCTTCCAGTTCACTTCCCTTCCAAGAATTTCCAAATCCTGCAGCTATTCCCAGGCCACCTCTGTTGTTGCTATTCCATAGCCAGGCCTTCTCTCACCACTCAGCTAGAAAGCACATCTTTTCCCTCTCACTGTGCCATGTTTTCCTTCTCAGCACTTTAAGGCACTTCTTCCTGCTTTTGGTAAACTGATAAATCATAATCTTATATATTTAAAGGATACAGTGTTTGTTCTAATAACAGTGTAGAGTGGTTAAATAAGGCTAATAAAGAAATTCATCACCTTACTTACTTTTCTTCCTGTGGTGGAACAATAAAATTTATTCTTATATTGAAGTGTACAATATGGTATTTACTACCTGTAGTCACTCTGATATGCAATACATCTCTAAACTTACTCTTGTCTGACAATGTAATGCACTTTGACCAACAGCTGATTCCCCAATAGTTTCTTTCCCCACTCTCACCCCATAACTTTTGGTAACCATCATTTTATTTTCTACCTCTGTGAGTTGGACTTTTTCAGATTCACAATTTAGTAAGATTATGCAGGTTTTTTAAAAACAGTTTTTCATGTGTATATGTGTGCATGTGTTACATATGTGCACAGTGTATGTGGAGGGGAGGACAACTTTCACCAGTCAATTTTCTCCTCCTTACACAGGTTATCAGGCTTGGTAGCAAGAGCCTTTATCTGCTGAACCATCTTGTTGGCCTTGAGAAATCAAGTTTTTGTCTTTCTGTGACTTGCTTATTTCACTTAGCATAATGTCCTTCTAATATATCAATGTTGTAAATGACAAAACTTGTTCAAAGCTTAAATAATATTCACACACACACACACACACACACACACACACACACACACACACACACACACATATTTTCTCTGACTTGGGATGGCAGTTGAAAATATTGAGCATTGAAAATGCATCTGATACACCCAGTTGTGTTTGTTAGGGTTTCTATTGCTATGATAAAACTGCATGACCAAAAGTGACTTGGGGAGGAAAGGGTTTATTCCAGCTTACAACTCTGAGGTCATAGTCTATCATCAAAGGAAGTGAAGGTAGGACCCGAAGCAGAGACCATGGAGGAGTACCACTTGCTGGCTTCCTCCTCATAGCTTTGTCAGTCCATTCTCTGGTACTTGGTACCCAGGGCCACCAGTCCAGGGATGGCACTGCCCACAGTGAGCTGGGCCATACCACATCAATCATCAATCAAGAAAATGCCCATATTCTTTCCCACAGGCCAATTTGGTAGAGGCATTTTCTGAATTGAGGTTCCCTCTTTCCAAATGACTCTAGTTTGTGTCAAATTGACCTCAAACTAGCCAGGAAAGGGACTATCTGCATTCTACATTTTACCATGTATGTGTTTATGTGTGTGAGCACATGTGGGGGTGGATGCATGTGCACATGTCAGAGGACAACCTTGGATGTCCATGCTCAGGTATCTTTCACCTGTTTGAGATGGGTTTCTCTTTGCAAACAAGGACACTTTGACTCATTCCTTTTCTATTTGTATCCACTTTATCTCCTTTACCTATCTTATTGTTTTAGCTAAGACTTCATACACTATATTGAAAGAGAGTGCAGAGAGTGGATATCCTTAGCTTATTCATGATTTCAGTTGAAATACTTTGTGTTTTTCTTCATTTTCATGATGTTGACTGTGGACTTGCTGTATATTATGTTGAAATACATACTCTATAGTTCTAGGGCTTTTATCATGAGGGATGTTGGATTTTGTCAAAAGCCTTTTCTGCAGCCAATGAAATGATCATGTGGTTTCCAATCTTGAGTTTGTTTATGTTGTGGATTACATTTATTGATATAGGTATGTTGAGCCATCCCTGCATTCTGGGATAAAGCCAACTTAACCATGGTGGGCCATCTTTCTGATGTGTTCTTAAATTTGATTTACAAGTATTTTATTGAATGTGTGTGTGTGTGTGTGTGTGTGTGTGTGTGTGTGTGTGTGTGTGTGTGTTCATCAGAGAGATTGAACTATAATCTTTTGTTGTTGGGTCTTTATTTGGTGTTAGTATCAGGTGTAGATGAATTTCTAAATAGTCTTGTTAAATAAGAAACACAGAGCCAAATACAGGGGTGCAAGCCATAGAGATCAGAGCAATAGTGATAGCCACCAAACTAACCTTAGCTCACTACACTGTCATTGCTTCCCAAGAGAACCAAACCAGCTTCTTCCTGTCTAACCTGCACCTTTATTGCCTTGCTGTTCTGCCTTCTCGTTGGCTCTAAGCCCAGCCACATCACTTCTTTGTCACTGCCTGTCTATACAGACCTACAGGTCTCTATGGTTGGTACTGAGATTAAAGGCATGTGTCACCATGCTTGACTGTGTCCTTGAACACACAGAACTCTGCTTGCCATGTGATTGGAGTAAGGGTGTGTGCTACCACCGCCTGACTTTTGTTTACGGTTGGCTATGACCTCTGATCTCCAGGTAAACTTTATTTATTAACATACAAATAAAATATCACTGCAATCAGGGCAATGCTGGCCCCATAAACAGAATTAGGAAATGTTCATTCCTTTTCTGTTATATGGAATAAATTGAGGAAGATTGGTGTTAGTTTGTCTTTGAAAGTCTTTTTAGATTCTGTACTGAGTCCTTCTGGTCCTGGACATTTTTTAGTTGGGAAATTTTAAATTACTGCTTCTATATTATCTTATTAGTTGTCATAAATCTGTTTAAATTTTTTAATCCATCTTGATTTAACTTTGGTTGGTCATATACATCTAAAAATTAATCCATTTCTTTTGATTTCCAGTTTATAGATTTTTGAAGTATGTCCTTATGATTCTCTGAGTTTCTCCAGTATCTGCTGTATTGTCTCCCTTTTCATCTCTAATTTTATTAATTTAGGTCCTTGGTCTCTCTTTTTGTTTAATTTGATGGAAGGTTAGCCAGTCTTTTAATCCAGTTTGTGTTTTCCATATACTCTTGGGTATATGATTGT